TTGTCCATTGTAAAGAAATGTATTGGGTAAGATACACGTTTAAGTTATAAATGTCAATGTTAGACTAGCACTAAGCCCCTCAAGGGAGGTTCATTGATGCTGATGAGGGGCTCTTGCACCAAGGAATTGAAACTATCCTCCCTTTCCTTGGATTGAATCTGATTGCTCCAGACCCTGTATGACTCCCATGGGTTAAGTGCTCTCCCGTAAATATAAGCATCTCTGGCAGTTTATATAGAGATGTCAGCCACATTAAATGTAAAATGTGCGGACAGAGCAGGGTCATACACTAGAACAGTGGCTCTTAACCAGAAGTACGTGTATTTCCTGGGGGTACAAGACAATGATCATATCAAAATACAATGTCTATGAAAGATATGGAATAACATTTTAAAAATTACTGTAACATATATTTTATTTTTATGCAACACACCTGTTTAAGTTAATGTAGTATGCTATTTTCTTCTAAATGCTTACTCATGCCTTTGAACAACACAAAGAAATCAAGCACTTTCTTAGGAACTAAAGAAGCAATATTGCTGATGTTTTTTAAAACATGGAGTTCATTTTATCTCTGGTATACTTGGCATATATATTCACACACTTGAAGGCTCTCATTCTTTTTGCTACCTACTATTTGTTTGAGACAGCTTTGTCAATACTTCCCCTATGTACATAAAAACAAAGGCTAGAAACCATCTCAGTGCCATTATACACCAAAATCACAAGCCACTTTTTTCCATTACACGTATTAAAAGTGAGACCTCTCCCTTTATACTGTTAGATGCCCCTGTGTACTTCCCAGTTTAATGTAGTGGGGCAGATGCATTTTGGTGGATTTTCCTTTTTTCTTCTTTTAAGCCTTTTCTTGTACAAGCTATTCCTTACAGAACTCTTAAAGTGGATTGTTATTTGGAATCACGTGGATAAGAGGTAGACGGCGCCTTCGTCTGGAAACATCGTTGAAGGGGACCCCATTTTGTGCAAAACAGTGTCCTGAACATACCAGCTTGCTTGACCTGGGTGTGGTTGAAGGTTAGGGTTTCCATGTAAATATGTGTTCCCTTTTAATTGATGCATTATTTCAGAGCCTTTTCTCAATTAGAAAACAATGATAGTGCAGAGCACTGTTTTATGTTGCCCATGGTATTTCTAAAGAATGGACAGTACAAAACCCACTTCTCAAATTATAATTCAGATTTAAATCTATTTTGAATAAATTTGTACTCTATTTTTTTTTTTTTTTTTTTTTTGACAGAAGTGAAGTGAACAAGTTGAATGCTGAAGGCCAGACTCTTCAGGCTATAGAGGTACAGTAATTCTGTCTGTATTTAGTTATTATTTTGGGTTCTTTTGAAGTTCATACACTTACCTAGGCTAACTAAAAGTAATGCGCAGGATGATAATGTGTGTCGAAGAGAGTATGATTAACCCTTTCACTGTCGGTCCTGTAATATTATGGCTTGCAAGCCAGTGTCTGTCCTGTAATACTACACCAAAATTCTGGCGCCTTCAAATCTGGTGGAAGAAAGCTGGTAGGCCTGCATGTAAGAGAATGGGTCGGTGTGCTCAAAAAATCAGGGTGGCTGCAGTGCATTGTGGGAGTGGCAGTTCAGTACACCTTCACCATGTCTAGAGGTAAGGAATACCTCACTTCCCAGTGAATTGGGACTCTTCCCTTCCCAAGTAATAGTTCTGACACAGATGGAAGTATCAGTGAAGATGAATTTCATGGTTTTGAGGAGTTTTTGACTCAAAGCAATGCCCAAGATACCAGAAATAGTGCTGAAAACCCAGATGTCCATCAGCCTTCCACCTCTGGTGCTGGGCCATCTCGTTCATGCTCAGTTGTCCCACAGCGAAAGAGGAAACTCATATTTTCTCATGTCAAAGAATAAGTAAGTAAGTAGGTTTATTCAGGTATACATAAATACAGTTACATAGATTATCATACATAGCAGCATATGTGTAGAGAACCTAGGATAACCCAAAAAGTCAGACAGTGACTTATTTCCACGTGGGTGGTGGGGAAGACTGTGTGGGTGGTGGGGAAGACAGCATGGTTGGTGGGGAAGACTGTGTGGGTGGTGGGGAAGACAGCATGGTTGGTGGGGAAGACAGTATGGTTAATGGGTAATGTTACAATTGGGATGGATAATATACATGCGGCAGCTGGTGGTGGTGTAATGCATCATGTAGCACCAGCAGCACCCCAGGCTGGTAGCTATGCTGCTGCCTCAGCACATCCACAGCAAAGGCCACCTTGAACCACCCCACACACAATAACCTGCACAACCACAACAACTTACCCACAAAAATGCAGACACTCGTTTTATGTGTGAGGAGTGTAAAACAGCACTGTGCATAACACCATGTTTCAAAGTCCCACAAGCTGCTGCACTTCTAGGAACATGTCCACTGACATTATGTGTATATATACATTATAGAACATTAGTAATAAACAACTTTTTTAATTGTTAGTTTGTGTAAACATGTTTTGTAAACATAATGAAAATATTTGTACAGTTATTGTGTTGGTAGGTAAGACACATAGGCAACAGTTAGGCAACTTCATTCCGAAACATTTCGCCTACACAGTAGGCTTCTTCAGTCGAATACAGAAAGTAGGCAGGAACAGTAGAGATGTGAAGACGATGTAATCAGTCCATCACCCTTGAAGTCGTAGAATTTGAGGTTGTCAGTCCCTCGGCCTGGAGAAGTTCAGTTCCATAGTCAGGAACTATCTGAAAATCAAGCGACAGTGCGGAGACTTAAATACTGTCAGAAGGAGAGGTGCAGAGTAGTAGTAGTAGTAGTAGTGAGAATGTACCCACTGAGAGGTCAGGTCCCTCTCAGATCCAACAGTTCTCACTTGGAAGGGTTGTCTAAGGCGTTTTCTGTACCAAGAGGCCATGTGTTGCAGTGTCTGACAAGATGAACATCAAAATGGTATACAATACCGACAGGTTGGTAGGTAAGACACATAGGCAACAGTTAGGCAACTTTATTCCGAAACGTTTCACCTACACAGTAGGCTTCTTCAGTCGAATACAGAAAGTAGGCAGGAACAGTAGAGATGTGAAGATGATGTAATCAGTCCATCACCCTTGAAGTCATAGAATTTGAGGTTGTCAGTCCCTCGGCCTGGAGAAGTTCAGTTCCATAGTCAGGAACTATCTGAAGATCAAGCGACAGTGCGGAGACTTAAATACTGTCAGAAGGAGAGGTGCAGAGTAGTAGTAGTAGTAGTGAGAATGTACCCACTGAGAGGTCAGGTCCCTCTCAGATCCATCAGTTCTCACTTGGAAGGGTTGTCTAAGGCATTTTCTGTACCAAGAGGCCATGTGTTGCAGTGTCTGACAAGATGAACATCAAAATGGTATACAATACCGACAGGTTGGTAGGTAAGACACATAGGCAACAGTTAGGCAACTTTATTCCGAAACGTTTCGCCTACACAGTAGGCTTCTTCAGTCGAATACAGAAAGTAGGCAGGAACAGTAGAGATGTGAAGACGATGTAATCAGTCCATCACCCTTGAAGTCATAGAATTTGAGGTTGTCAGTCCCTCGGCCTGGAGAAGTTCAGTTCCATAGTCAGGAACTATCTGAAGATCAAGCGACAGTGCAGAGACTTAAATACTGTCGGAAGGAGAGGTGCAGAGTAGTAGTAGTAGTAGTGAGAATGTAGCCACTGAGAGGTCAGGTCCCTCTCAGATCCAACAGTTCTCACTTGGAAGGGTTGTCTAAGGCAACAGTATTTAAGTCTCCGCACTGTCGCTTGATCTTCAGATAGTTCCTGACTATGGAACTGAACTTCTCCAGGCCGAGGGACTGACAACCTCAAATTCTACAACTTCAAGGGTGATGGACTGATTACATCGTCTTCACATCTCTACTGTTCCTGCCTACTTTCTGTATTCGACTGAAGAAGCCTACTGTGTAGGCGAAACGTTTCGGAATAAAGTTGCCTAACTGTTGCCTATGTGTCTTAACTACCAACCTGTCGGTATTGTATACCATTTTGATGTTCAGTTATTGTGTTGCATACAATGAGTGGATATATAAACATTATGCATTATATTGGTCTCACAGGCCACAAAAGTTACTTGAAAAAATAAAATATTAGAAAAGAAAAGAAAAATAGAATAAAAGTAAAAATAATATTACCGAGTGAGCGGAAGTCGCCGATGTTGCCGTCAGCTGTTCACTTTGTCAACTTCACACCTCTATATCTCGGTAACTACTGATCGCAAAATTTTTATATTTATTGTAGGAAGTCTGAATAAATGAAGAATGGGTATAATTGAAAACTGCTGCACGAGTGAAACGCTGTAAAGGGAAGTACAGTGCTATAAAGTGAGGCCGGCGTATAGTAGTTGAACCATACTCTGCAGTCTACAATAACAAGTGACATGAAACCAAAAATGTCTCTAATTAACAAATTACATTAATTATTAACACTGAATTGTTTAGCAGATTTTTAAAGTATGAATGAAGAGAGAAAACCATTACTGAAGTAACTGGTGCCAGGGTGCAGGCACTGTAATGGCAGGATGCAGGATCTGTAATTACTGCCAGGGTGCAGGCACTGTAGTGCCAGGGTGCAGGCACTAGTGCCTGGGTGCAGGTATTGTAGTGCCAGGGTGCAGGCACTGTAATGCCAGGGTGCAGGCACTGTAACTACTGTCAGGGTGTAAGCACTGTAACTACTGCCAGAGTGCAGGCACTGTAACTACTGCCAGGGTGCAGGTATTGTAACTACATCCATGGTGCAGGCACTGTAACTGCCAGGGTGCAGGCACTGTAACTACTGCCAGGGTGCAGGTATTGTAACTACAGTAAGTTTAGTGCTGAGCGATGGCGACTTTTAGCATTTGTGTAATTAGTTAATTCTGAGTTTGTTTCAGCTCCTTACCTCAGAGATCAAAGTGCATCCTGATAACCCAGAGTTGTTTCTTCTGAGAGCACAAAACCTGCTGAAGCTTGACAAGTATAAAGGTAAAGTATTTTTTATTTTTTATTTCATTACTACCTTCCTTAGAAAAGCTGACATTTCTGTAACAGATTAGATAAGTGCCCTTAATACATATATACGTGTGGTGCATATAGTGTATGTTACTATTATATTGTGCATTATTATTTTTATTTTTTTTTTCATCACTAGCTAATGCTAACTACCTCCAATACTTTATACTTCTTTCTTACTGCTATTAATTGCTCATAATTTTAAGTTACAAGTCTAATCTTACTCCAAATTAATATTATTCATTGTTCTTACCTGTCCATTTAATTTTGTTTACCACTACTTGTTTTTTTAGTCACTTTTTATTGTGTGTGCAATTAGTGTATATTCCAATTACTTTTTTGCAAGTACCAAAACTATCTTTTGCTAGCTAGTACCAACTACCTCATTTTTTTACTTTTTATTGTGCAGTAAACTGCTCAACTTATTTAATATTACAAATCAGATCTTACTCCTAAACCAATATTATTTCATAGTGACTATCTGTCCATTTAACTTTGTTTACCATTACTTAATTTTAGTCCCTTATATATTTTTTCCTTTATTTTAGCTTTATATAACTACCTTAGTTCATATATTCACAATTGTTAAAATAATCAAGGTGCTATTCTCAGGTGCTAAAGTGTAATATGTTCACTATTTTTCCATTATATTCCAAAGCTCATTTATTTGATTACCACTTTATTGTTTACCACAACTTATATTAGTCCCTTTTATATTATAATTTTATATTATAATTCTAACTAAAGAATTACCTTTAAAGTACTACCTACTATCATATTCCCAAGCTCCATTATTTGATCATTACTTTATTTGTTCACCACAAATTATTTTAGTCCCTTTTATATTGTCTCCTTTTTTTTAGCTTTAAAAAACTACCTTAGCTCATTATTTTTACATTTGTTAAATAATTCAGGTGCTATTTTTTAGCTTTAGAATATTTACTTTGTTTTATACTTAATTCTAACTATAGATTCACTACAAATCTTATGATTACAAGCATTGATCCTGATACCAACCTCTTATTGAATGACTTAAATGAATCAAACAGTTACTGTAATTACTACACAGCAGAACAATCAAAGGCACTTCTCAGACCCCAACAAAAACATAACTGTTTTTAACTACAATATCAGATCTTTAAGCAAGCATTACGATGACCTCATAGCATTACTAAATTCCTTGCATGCCAATATGTCCATCATTACACTAACTGAAACCTGGCTAAAGCCTGATACTACAGATGTCTATGCCATTCCTGGTTACACATCCATACACAACTGTAGGACAGATCAACAAGGGGGTGGCACAGCTATATACTACTCAGACCAACTAGAATGTATCACTAATACTTGCACAAGGGATGAACATGGGGAATATATAATAGCTAAATTCAAATCCAAATACCTACAAAAACCTCTCACATTGATAAACATCTACAGAGTTCCTCCACAGTCAAACATTAGCCAATTTAGTCAAAACCTAGGAAGTATGATAACTGATGCACGCATAAACAAAGATCACTTACTACTCTCAGGTGACTTCAGTATAAATCTCCTGCAAGACCAGGACCCACACGTTACTGAATTCACAAACACAATGAGTAACTGCATGTTGCTACCAACAGTAACAAAACCTACAAGAGTTACGGAGACTAGTGTTTCCCTACTTGACCACATCTGGACCAACACCATATCCCCTTTAAAACCAGGCATAATTACAGATAATACCACAGACCACTACCCTACTTTCCTCATAACAACTCTTGGAAAATACCCCAAGACACTACTAAAGTCACCTTCAGACTCACAATGAGGCGGGCCATTAATAACCTCACAACAGCAGTAACAAACATTGACTGGCACACTGAGCTAGAAATCTATACAGATATTGACGAATGTATTAATAATTTTCTAAAAAAGACCAATACCTCTATAACAAGCACTGCCCTAAAAAAACTAAACAGATGACAGCTAAGAGACTGAACAGTCCCTGGCTAACACCCAGCATTCTCAAATCCATAAATACAAAACAACCGATATGAAAAACAGTACAGAATGGGTCACATAACCAGAGACCAAACAAAACTTACTCGTCAATCCTAACCAGCCTGATAAGAAGGGCAAAAAAATTGTATTATGAAACAGATTATCCAACTTACGAGGTGATATAAAAAAGACCCTGGAAAACCCTATCAGAAATTCTGGGAACAAAAAAGATATCACGAAATAGCGAAATAAATTAGCAAAATCAGATGAACCCCAACTCCCACCAACAGAAACAGCAAACAGACTCAATGATTTCTTCTCCACTATAGGACAAAACCTTGCCAATAAAATCCCAAGCTCAGATACCCCCACCAAATGACTACCTCACTGCAACTACCCGAACACACTGTTCCTAGCTCCGACTAACCCAAAACGAAGTCTCCCTTATTATAAACGCACTAAAAAACAAGGCAGGAGATTTAAATACCTTACCACCCCTTATATACAAAAAAGTGTCACAATGCTATCACCAATCATTGCAACACTCTTTAACAAATCCATTGAATCCTCCACCTTCCCTACAGTTCTCAAAATAGCAAGGGTCACCCCGATCCATAAAGGAGGAGACCAAACAGAGTTGAATAACTATAGGCCAATATCCAATTTACACCCTCTCTCAAAAATCTTCGAAAAATTAATTCATAAACGAATCTACTCCTACCTCATCTCCCAAAACATACTCAACCCCTGCCAATTTGGATTCAGGCCTAATAAAAATACTAATGATGCTATTATACACATGCTAGAACATATATACACTGCAATAGAGAAAAAAGAAGTCCCACTGGGGATCTTCATTGACTTACGTAACGCTTTTGATACAGTTGACCATGACTTGCTCCACGTAAAATTGTCACACTATGGTATAAGAGGGCACTCCCTCAAGTCATACCTCAGCAACAGAAGCCAATATGTGTATGCAAACAGGGCAAGCTCTTCCGCACAACCAATTACAGTTGGTGTCCCACAGGGAAGTGTCCTTGGCCCTCTTCTCTTTCTCCTATACATAAATGACCTACCAAATGCTTCGCAATTACTCAAACCCACACTATTTGCAGATGACACTACATATGTCTTCTCTCACCCGAGTCCAGTCACGCTAGCCAATACTGTAAATACCGAATTACAGAAAATATCTACCTGGATGAGGACTAACAAACTTACACTAAACATTGACAAAACCTACTTCATTCAGTTTGGTAACAGAGCTACAGATGTCCCTCTTAACATAATGATAAACGGATCACCTATCACAAAGCTAACAGAGGGAAAATTCTTAGGAATCCACCTTGATAATACAGGTCTCCCTCAACATTCACGTTTTCAGCTTTCGTGGGCTTCACACATTCGCGAATTCCCAACCGCCAAATTCCCAGCCACCAAATTCCCAGCCGCCAAATCATATTCAAGTTTCCCGCCACCTGCGAGTCCCTACTACCCTCCCTCCGACCCCTGCAACTGGCAGCCAGCCCTCCCACCACTCAGTGTGGTGAGTGTTTTGTTTGTTCATTATTTGCTATTAAACTACAGTATAAATAATGTAAACACATTCATGACTGCATATTGGAATGGCTATTTGAACAGGTATTGGACTGTGACATCATGTGTTTACTCTTGAACACAGCAAAGAATCAAACATTTCTGCTACTGCTAATAATAACAATAAATAATAATAATAAAAAAAACGATATAATTGAAAAAGGGAAATTGTACAAAAATACGAGGGAGTGGTTGACACATCGTCAGTGTGGCTTTATTTATGCTGGAGTGAACATTAGTCTCCCTGCTCTTCCAAACATTTCACAATAATTCTTTGTTTGGTGCTTGTAGATTGAGTGTGACTGGAGTGGTTGAGGCAGTGATAGAGGTGATGAGGCAGTGAGTGGTAGAGGCGGTGGTAGAGGCGGTGGTAGGCAGTGGACAGTGGTAGGCAGTGAGAGGCAGTGGTAGAGGCAGTGATAGAGGCAGTGATAGAGGCAGTGATATTTACTAACATATATGTTATAAATAATAATAGTACATTATAATAACATTTATTATTATTATTATAAATGTTATTAATATTAACATGTACTATTATTATTTATAACATACGTATATGTTAGTAAATACCACTGCCTCTATCACTGCCTCTATCACTGTCTCTATCACTGTCCTCTATCACTGCCTCTACCCCACACTGCCTCAACCGCTGAATTATTGTGAAATGTTTGGAAGAGCAGGAGACTAATGTTCACTCCAGCATAAACAAAGTCACACTGACGATGTGTCAACAACCCCCCTCGTATTTTTGTACAATTTCCTTCTTCAATTATATCGTATTATATTATTATATTATTATTATTATTAATTATTATTATTATTATTATTGTTATTATTAGCAGTAGCAGAAATGTTTGATTCTTTGCTGTGTTCAAGAGTAAACACATGATGTCACCGTCCAATACCTGTCCAAATAGCCATTCCAATATGCAGTCATGAATGTGTTTACATTATTTATACTGTAGTTTTAAATAGCAAATAATGAACAAACAAAACACTCACCACACTGAGTGGTGGGAGGCTGGCTGCCAGTTGTGGGGGTTGGAGGGAGGGTAGTAGGGACTGGCATTGGTTGAGGAAGTGGTGGAGACAGTGGTGGAGTCTGTGGTATTTAATAACATACATGTTATTAAAGCATAACATGTATATATTTAGTACAACTTACGACGTTTTCATGTATTTTATGATTGTTCATGGTTCAACAAGTTAAGCAGTATTGTATTATATTTCCCTACAATATATTGGGGCACCAAACATTCACGGTTTTTCAACATTCGCGAGGCTCTTGATCCCCTAACCCTCGCGAATGTTGAGGGACACCTGTAGACTCAAATTTCATACACATATACAACAAATTTCTAAGAAAATTTCCAAGATTGTAGGCA